CATAAATGAAGGGAAGAGGAGGTGGGTTGAGGCATTTAACAGAAACCGGTGGTGAGAGTGACGAAGAATGATGTTTTCTTGTAGAGAGCGAGGTATTTCAATGCTCATCCTTGAATTCTGAATTTAGAGTGAATTCAAGATGAGTTAATGAAGGCAGGTAGCCTTACATAAACCTCTCCACCACTCTCCCCCCTCTCTCTCTCTATACATACATATGTCTGTGTCTGTAATATGTACATACATGTATATGTGCGTATATACCTGTTTCTGTAACTCTGTGTATTTATGGCTTTGGCCCTCCTTTTCCTTGGTTTTTCTCTCTATTCCTAATACAGTAATGTTACACTGACTAAATTTTGGGATCAAATTTAGAGTTCAAATGACATGACAGCTCACATGGACTTCTTTATTTAGTGCTATGTCATTTTGGTCTCAATAAAGACTCCAAATAATATGCTGTCATGTTATTTGTGCTCTAAATTTAATCTCAAAATTTGGTCAGCATAACATTATTGTTTCTACTATGCGTCAATTTCAGTATAACTGAGTAGCTTACAAAAATATCCATAGATTGGCAAAGTGCTTTAGATGCTACTGTTTTAAGTCTAACAGTAAACAAGGGTTGGGTGTTGTGTCAACTAGCTTTCTAACTTATTGAGTGCCTTTCACAATTTATGTGGTTGGTGAGCATGGCCATAGACCAACCCCCATATTGGTTAAAACGCAGTCTCCAATGTATATAATAGCACTTTCCCCATTCAGAGAAACCGACCCCTCATCTTGTAACTTAGCACCCCTTGAATCCTTGCACCAGCACATAACCAAGAGAATGAGATGGCAATTTCCATTTTTTTGGGGGGAGATAAGTAATCTTATTAACCCGACAAAACTAGATATTATATTGAATATGTCTGTTAAATGATTTGAGTAGCTTGAGCTTGGTTGAGACTCATTTAAAACACAAATTGTAGGAACTCTGACTAGATTTCCGAGATTGTTGTGCAAACAAGCTGAATTCGAGTAATATATGAGTCGCTCCGTAGGTATAGGTTTTTGCTTAGAAATGCTGTTAATTTTAATATTGAACATCCCTCGTGTTTGAAAACGTAAACAATATCAAATACACTTCAAATTTCTTTAGAGGATATGCATCTCTCTCTCTCTCCTGAGAAAATATGTAATGGTGATCACATCATTAATGTCACGTAATGTCTCTAACTAATGATAGAATACTAAATAGACTTAGTGGACTTCTATATTTTAGTAACTGCCAATAATCATTTTATCTAATATTGTCATTTTGAAATAGTAGAGTTCACTAATCTTATTTGTTTTTTTATAATTAGTTGGTAACACAATGTTACATTGATGACGAACTAGTAGAGTTCACCAATCTCTCTCTCTCTCTCTCTCTCTCTCTCTCTCTTCTTTAATAGATTTTTGAAAACTTTTAAATATGGTTGATCATGCATCTTGAGACATTTGTTTACGAGGTCATTGCTCTAGGATTGAGTATCAAGTTTTAAGGTTAGATTTTTGAAATTTTTTGCTGAGAAGTCGAACTCAATTTTAGCTCGTGTTTGACTCAAATGCTTGCAAGCTTATGTTGAGTCAAGCTTAAGTAAGAATCTAAGACAGACAATTGAGCGCGGGTAGTTGCAATTAAACCGAGCTTAAGCATGGATCAACAAACACTAATACTATTGGAACATAATTTAGGGACATAATTTGGGAACTTAATGCATTATAACCATTAGATTGATAGTGTTGAGATTCAGTGACAATTTAATGATGAGACCCACCGATAATTTAATGGCCACAATCATTAAATTTTCAAGTTATGTTTTTAAATTATGTTCCAATAGTATTGCTCATCAACAAAACACCCAAAGNTAATTTAATGATGAGACCCACTGATAATTTAATGACCACAATCATTAAATTTTCAAGTTATGTTTTTAAATTATGTTCCAATAGTATTGCTCNCAATTTAATGATGAGACCCACCGATAATTTAATGGCCACAATCATTAAATTTTCAAGTTATGTTTTTAAATTATGTTCCAATAGTATTGCTCATCAACAAAACACCCAAAGAAATTAAAGAGCACGCCAAGTATGGCCATGCATAGAGGTAAAATGTTTGAATGATATGACCATTTCATTTTATCATAAAAGAATATCAATGTAATTTCTACATGTACATATAGAGTGAGAGTTCAAAGAGACTTGAATTCTTGTTGACATAGTGGGTGTTATGGGACATTAAAGTTCAGTTGAAGGCATTTGGTTTCTTTAAAAATATTGAGACAAGAAAAGAGAGGGGGGGGGGGGGGGGGGGGGNTAATTTATAGCTGAGGGCCGTTGTGAGCCTTTAAAGTTTTTTCTTTTGTAGTTCAATGCAGGATGATGACCAATTTTTCATTTTTTTTTAAAGTTTAATTACTAGAGGTGTTCAAACTAATTTATGCATACTTCAACTAATCTTCTCTTCGGTTGGCCAAAGGCAGACCGTCCATTTCAACATTAAGATATTTATGAGGAATAAATCCCTCATAGTTTGAATCTAAGAGAATATTAAGATTCGAATTCAGGACGTTTGAATTTATAACTTGTCTCTATTACTATTTAAGTTCAAAGCTCGTGGGATATGAACTTTTTTTATGAGTGATGTTATTTATAGTTAAAAATCTGACATAATTTACAAACTTAATGTGATAGAACCTATAATCAATCCAATGGTTATAATGAATTAAATCAACAAATTAAATCAATAAACTAAATGTCAATAAGACTCGTCTCTTGTTTAATGGCAGAGGGTGATAAGGGCTTTTAAAGTTTGCGAAATATTATTTAGATCTTATTTAAGAACTTAATGATTTACAATTATTAGATTGGTTGTGGACTTCAACTAATATTAGAACTCATAACTAATATAATGTATTGAAGCCGCATCATTAAATTTCTAAATAAAGTCTTCAGATCCATATAACATTACTTTTAAAGTTTTGGTTCTGTGAGTGACNTTATGATCGATCTATTTTTGTAAGTCATAAGTAACATTTTTTAGCCGTAACTTCATTCTAAATGAGTTACAATTAACCCCTATTTACTTGTAATTATCGTATGGTATGGCAGTTGGTACCGTAGAGCATATGTGTTTATGTGTATCTAATGCTTGAAGCTATAGTTAATGCATAGTCTAAGGAGAGTCAGATTTATACAGTTTTACCCTTGTATACAGAGAGTTTGATTTTGCAATTCAAACCGTCCCAAGTGACAATAGAACATGGTTGTGCAGAAAATTCTTTATAAACTATGTGCACTTACTATAGCTAATTCTATATTCTATATTCTATATTCTTTGAGTGCAGTCTGGGCTAATATACTACTACAACACAACAACCTTAAAAAGGACATCAAGGGATCCAAGGGCAAGTCCAGAGCCACCAAGTCCAGGNAATGCAAACAATTAGTAGGCTTTAACACTACAAGACATAACTCGCGAACATCACACACATAATTAACGGTTTTAATTTACCCTTAGCAATTTCAACAATTGTATCCATCGAACTTGTCAAACCCACTTGATTTATGGGTTGACACGAACTACATCAAACACAACACAAACTGTATCTGACCTAATATGAATTTTACACAAGACAATCCATGTTTTAAGTATGGAAAATACGATGTAACCTAAATTTGTATCCCAAATGAAGGGGATTATTGAATGAATGAGCCTCATTAACTTTTTTAAATAAAGACTCAGTGATCCAATGGTCCCCTTCATTTGGAATACACATTTTGGTTACATAACATTGCTATTTAAGCATAAATGAGCCTAGTATGAAGTGAACAAACTGTATCTGACCAAGTAATACCTTGTTTGTTTTTTTTTTTTCGGGTGGTATTATTTTTTGGATTGCAATACCAACTTGCTAGCTACAGTTTATCAAAACATATGTACATGGGCTTATATAATACCACTTAGGAGATAATATTATTTTTTAGATTTTTAGCCACCAATGGTATTAGGGAGATTAATGATTGAATTGTCCTTCGACCCTTAATGTTAGTATGGGATTTTGGACACCAATGGTTTTTTATTTTTTAATTTTATTAATTTTTTAAAAAATAATTTCTAATTTTGAATTTTATTAATTTTTTTAAAAAAAATTTCTAATTTTGAATTTTTTTTCTTGTATTATGTTTAAGCGTACGTTGTCACTGAGTTTTTTTTTTTTTTTAATTTTATTAATTTTTTTAAACAAAATTTCTGATTTTTTATTTTTTCCTTGTATTATATTTAAACATATAGTGTCACCATTTTTTTTTAATTTTTTTTATAAGATTATTTTACATTTTTTTTATATTATGTTTAAGCGTACGGTGTCATTGATTTTTTTTTTTAAAAAAATTTTTACAATTTTTTTTTCATACATCTAGAATAGAATAATGAAATGAATGATGTTAAAGGTAAAATTGTATATAGAATAAATGATTATTTATGGCACCCACTATAATACCTGTTGAACTACTAACAAATATTGAAGAGGATTAAAATACTTTCTATTACTAATACTAATTTTCATATATATTAAAAATATAAAAAATACATTTTTCAATATTGTCCATAACATTCCTCAAAACAAACATGCCCTTAGTGTCTATATGAATAGCATAGTGCCTATTCGATCAAGGAGAGTTGGTTAGGACTTAACATCCATGCTTTTAAGAGGAGCTTGAGCTATGTAGACTAGAGTAATTGCAAAGTGAACTTCACTTGAAGAGCACGTCACAGAGTGATGGGCCTATTTAGTTCCACATTTAAAGCTTTGCCCTTTTAGATCCTCCTTGCAGTTATTTGCCCGTCCATATAGCTCCCTCTCTCTCCTATATAACCCCCCACAACATATTCACCATTTCCACGAGATATAGACTCTGAGGAGTGAGAAATACTCTGAGAGAGAGAGAGAGAGAGAGAGAGAGAGATAGAGAGAGAGAGAGAGAGAGAGAGGTGATCATTTCTTTGCGTTTGATCATTCATGGTTTCCTTTCACACACCCAGCTTACCAAGTCGAAGAAAGATAATTCAAGGGTTGGAGGATTCAATGAAGAAGAGGAAACGAGAGGAGGGGGATGATTCAAAAGCTGAAGAGGTGTTTGAAAAGCCTCAAAATCCCAAAAGCATGAAATATATATTCAACACTGAGATTAACCTCGAGACTCCATTGCCTTTGGAGTGGCAGCGTTGCCTGGACATCAAGGTATACCTTCAACCACGATACTATGTATATGTATACACGTGTTTATTTGTATAAATATATATTGAAAAATTAATTTTTTGGAATTGTACTTTAAAGTTATTACAAAATAAGAAGGATGCTCTTACTCAATTTACTGAGTTTAAGATAAATTGTGTTGTTTGAAATCAATTCTAATATTTTATGATCGATCTATTTTTGTAAGTCATAAGTAACATTTTTTAGCCGTAACTTCATTCTAAATGAGTTACAATTAACCCCTATTTACTTGTAATTATCGTATGGTATGGCAGTTGGTACCGTAGAGCATATGTGTTTATGTGTATCTAATGCTTGAAGCTATAGTTAATGCATAGTCTAAGGAGAGTCAGATTTATACAGTTTTACCCTTGTATACAGAGAGTTTGATTTTGCAATTCAAACCGTCCCAAGTGACAATAGAACATGGTTGTGCAGAAAATTCTTTATAAACTATGTGCACTTACTATAGCTAATTCTATATTCTATATTCTATATTCTTTGAGTGCAGTCTGGGCTAATATACTACTACAACACAACAACCTTAAAAAGGACATCAAGGGATCCAAGGGCAAGTCCAGAGCCACCAAGTCCAGGCCACATGAGCTTAGACCTAGAGCTTAACCTACCATGCGGATCAGTTGAAAAGAACCCTATTCCCAACAAAAATTTCAACCGTAATTTTGGTAGCAACAGCCACTCAAACATTTCCGGTGATCAGTTCCTGACCTCCAGCAGAAATAATCAGAACTCCGGCGGGTTTCCATCGTGGTTAACCTTTGATCAAGGGGATCACCAAGAGATGGTGACGGCTGTGTGCAAGAACTGTCACATGTTGGTGATAATGTGCAAGTCCTCTCCTTCATGTCCAAATTGCAAATTTGTTCACCCACCAGACCACAGCCCTCCTAACCTGTTCAAGAAAAGATTAAGTCTCCTACATGAAGGATTGCCTAATGTTTAGGTATTTACCATCACTTTGTTTCTGTACACCTGACGCTGCTTTTCAGATCCCGAAATGATAGGAAACTCGTATGGTAGATGTTGTAATTATTTCAATTTGTGCTCTCTAGAAAATTAGAAGCCTTACTTGGGTAACTTCTGTTCTTCCCCCTTTTCCTGAGAAAAATGAGTGTGTTTGTTCAATGGAGAGAAAGGAAAACAAACTGACTGATTTATGTAAAAATATATATAATACAAGCAAATATATATCCTATAATGATATGTGTAAATAAGCAGTGTATTTGAATGGGGTGGTATAAATACTCATGAATTTCTTATTACAATCCACTTTGGTGATGAAGCTGATATCATCCCACCTCTTTCTTCTCCTTACCTTTTTTGGGTTGGGTTGGGATTGAGTGGGGATTGGGGGTTGAGTGGAGAAAATATTTGGTGCTTAGAGGGCACCACTTGGTAGTAATAATGTGGTGCTCACATCCAATGAGATATTGCTAAAACACTTGCTCGTGGGACAAACATATTGATGATTTCAAAAAAAAAAAAAAATCTGATAACTTTACAAGAGGTTGCAATTGATGGGAAATGGACAATATTTTATGGATGATGTACACCACATGATACTGTCGTACTTAATAAATACCGAATATTTTTGTGTTTGTTTTGAGAGGGGGGGGGGGGGCTTTGTCAACCCCATATGTTGTTTGGTGAACTTTTTTTGAGCTTGTTTCTTATCATTGTGAGGTCACATTGATTCTCAATTGAGAGGGAGACTAATCCAACTGTGCTGAGATAACTTACCACAATGATCCTTTTCTTTTTCTTTCTTTTCTATTTTTTCTAACTTTGCTGCCTATAATCGAGTAGTTTCATCACACAAAGGTTTGATTAATTGTCTGTGACTTAACCAAGTAATGGTCACATCAACACTTCAGCAATGGCCAAGCAATAACTTGTCCTAACCATTGTCGGTTGGTTCTTTTATTTCTCGTGTCACAGCCTTCATGAATGACCCATCAACCAAACTTCAAGAACAGAATTGAAACTTTATCTCTCAGTACTCCCATTTTTGCTGATACTTCTGTTTATCTTCCTGAAAATTGCTGAAAAAATCTCTACGAAACTTTACGTAAATTTTACATCAAATTCTCATAGTTTTGTATCCTAGAAATGCCACACTGCAGTATCAGAATTTTATGATCCACCGATTTATCAATTTTCATGCATGCACTATTTAATGGGTCATTAATGAATCATTGAAGAACTCAACTGCGTATGAACTGTAATAAGTGATAGTGAGGAAGGGAAAAAAAAACGTAATAAATAGGAAATTTCCAATGTCATAATTCATAATTATTATGAACATGCAAGGTCATGACAGGGCGGTCCAACCAATATGGAGGCCCTAGAAGAAAATATTTAGTGGTGGCTCAGTGCTATGAAATATGATAATACTAGTTATTTCTCGTGTTTAAAGGCACAGAATAATAAAACAAAATTCAACAATAAACATATTTTTATTCATATTCAAAAACAAATTACAAAAATAGAGGAAATATATATGAATTTAAGCACCGATTGTAGTAGAGACGAATGGTGATTATGGTGGTGGGTGGGAGTGATAGTAGGGGCGAACGGTGGCTGTGATGGTGGTGGTGGAAGACGGTGATAGTTATGATGGGTGATGATGACCGGTTATAATGGTGATAACCATGGGTGGCAATGGTAATGGTAGTGGTGGGGGGTGAGGGAGGTGATAATGGTGGTGGGATACTTGGGGTGGTGGTAAGGTGGCAATAACGATGGTTGTGGTGGTAGTGGGGACAGTGGTGGTGGGGCACTGGTGAGGTGATGGGGGTGGTGGTAGTTGTGATGGTCATAAGGGGTGGCGACAGTGACAATAGTGGTGGTGGTTGTTGTGGCAGACGTGGTAATGTGGTGGCGACAGCGACAGCGACAGTGATGGTGTGGCGGCAACGGTAGTGGTGGTGGCTGGCGGCAACGAGATGTTGGTGGGGCGATGGTGGTGGTTGTTGTGGAAGAGGTGGTAGCTGGGTTATAATGGTGGTGGTGGTTGTTGTTGTGGCAGATGTGGTGGTGTGGTGGCGACGACACTAGTAGTGGTGGTAATGGTGATGGTGGTGTGTGGGGGTAGTTGTAAACACTATTTTTTTTAAAATATTTATGAAAAATTATAAGTTTTAGAAACACTTTTAAAAAATTATCTCAAACACATCTTTAAAGACTTATTTCTCCATTAAATTTGGTATGTTAATATTAATAATCGGATTAATTTTAAAGTAAAATTTAAATAGATTTCAACTGCGAAAAATAAAAGTCATTTTGTTTATCTTTTAAAATTTGAATTGTATTATACTTTATTATATAAATAAATACCAAAAAATAAATATTAAACTATTAATGTATTCATTTAAAAATTATTTTCTTGTATTTGAGAGGTAAAACCACTAGTTTTGTATTCAAGTTTTAGTTATAAAAAATTCATTAATTGAACTTAAATTTAGAGATTATAATATAATTAAATCTGCAATTAGTTGAAAATATAGAGAAAAAAATTGAAATTTATTAATAAAACTAAATTATTTTTCAAAAAAAAAAATGACAACAAGAATTTTGAATAGTAAACTTCTCAAATTCAATATATATATTGCCATTCTATGTGTGTTTCTTGTGTATTTAAAAAAATAATTGAGCAAAAAAAAGATTCGAATAAGAAAAGATTTCGAATTTAAGTTAAGAATAAGTTATAATTTATAAAAAAAATTAGGTGATAAATAATTAATCAACTACTTAACTTTGATTGTAATAAATTAAAAGTATTGCGTGAGGAGACAACTTATTTTTTCAGGAGCAATGCTATGTTGATTAAATTGTTGCTCAAATTTTGCATCTCAAATCAATGTAGGTGGTTAGATTAGTGGAGTCCACTAACTCTACTAAATATTCAATGTATGAGATTTTGACACATCACTTGGGATATAAGATTTGGTAAAAAATTTGTGAAACACAATTTTATCATTTTTTTTCAGTATTTACATAAAATAAAGTAAGACTAAAAAAATAAAAATAGTAAAAGAATAATAATTCGATCGTATCGTGTCAAAATGTGTTTAATATATGTCCGTCCTATTTATAATTATGTATAATTTAACAAGTTTGTGTCGCGTTTCGTTAGATTCATGTCAATTTAATGATTTGAGGGGCCAAATAATTTCTTTCATTTATCTTCCAAATCTATTAAGGTTGGACTCAAACTCATTAGCATCATATAAATTTTTTATTGGTTCTTAGATTGAATATAAAATTATAAGACGAGTTAAAATTGGGACCCTAAAATTATTTTAATTGCATCTTAAAAAAAAATTTGGGACCTCAAATATTGCTATTTGTTTGGGAGTCCTAGGAGGCGGCCTCTATTGAACATGGATTTAAAAATTAGACTTAAAAGTTAAATTTAATAATCACAATAATTGAATAGGTAGTGGAACTTAATAAATGTTAGAATCCACAATAAAATCAATGATTATAATTATCAAGTTTAATTTTAAAATCTAATTTTTAAATTCATGTAACATTACTTATTATGAAAGACACAAGCAGGGTTTACGTTTAGAACTATAATTTTGGACATTAATTTAGTGACAAGATTTGTTTTTTTTCTAATAAAGGAGAACACTCATAAACTATCTTAACAAGTCTTCACTGGTGGAATCATGGGGTTCTTAATTGTGTCCGTTATTACTCTCAATAATAAACTTAGTTAGACTAATGTAGTGATCAATCATTAAACCTCAATCTAACTTCAAGGCTTGAACGCTAAACTTTAAAGTGAAAATTTTAGTCGATGCCTTACTAAACCACCTCACTCGACCATAGTGCTTGGATTATTTCATTATAACCTCAATCTTACCAATTCACATCACCAAAACAGCCTTTTCGAATGCCGGAGAGATAAGGGTTTTTTTATTTCCTTTTGAAACCATGTCAATGTAAGTTTAAATACATCTTATTATCACCCCCAACGCCGCAATGATGATCTAGTACCTTAAACTCTCGATTGATAAGGACCATAAGGTTACCACTAATATATAACAGTCACGCAATGGTCACCCGAGGTGACCATGGGATTGCCGCAGGCTAAAGCTTCCTATCCTAGGCTTAGCCCATTGGCCACTTCTGGTTCTATTTTTACTTTTACACAACTTAATGGATATTTTTTTATACAAAAATTGAGATATATAAAATTACTAGTTATTGTCTGTACTTGAAGGTACAGAGTAATAAAAAATAAAAAATAATAAACATATTTGTATTCATATTCAAAATCAAATTACAAATATAGAGGAGAGAAAAATAAATTAAAGCATCGGTTGTAATGTGGGTAAGTGGTGATGGTAGGAGACGATGATGATTGTGGTAGGTGACAATGACTGTAGCGGCGGTAGCAACAATGGTGGTGGTGGTAGCGATGGTGGTTGTTTGTGGCGTGGGATGGCGGCGGTGGTGGTGGTGGCGGCGACAACGACGGTGATTGTGGTGGTGGTTGTAGTGACAGTGGCAATGGTGGTGGAGGCAGTGGCAGTGGCAATGGCAGTGGTGGTGGTAGAGATAGTAGAGGTAGTAGTAAGACGGTTTCAAGCACTATTTTTTTTTAAAGTAATTAAGAAAAATAATTCTTAGAAGTACTTTTAAAAAGTCACTCCAAACACACCTTTAGACCCTTATCTTTCCTATTAAATTTAGAGTGATAATATTAGTCGTTAGATTAACTTCAAAATAAAATTTAAAATGATCTCAACTACGAATAACAAAAGTCATTTTATTTATCTTTTGAAATTTAAATTGTAAACTACTTTATTATATAAATGTTTTGCTACCCCCAACAATTAACTCTATTTTACTTTGCCCCTTAATTATTATTTTTTTCACAATGCACCTTCAACCATGATCATCAATTTTATATTTTTTCGATGATTAATGGCCCTTATAAATTTAATGAAAAGTTATCTAAGTATTTCTTCCAAACGATGCGTTTTGGTTTCACTTTATTCTACTACTAAGGACAATTTCTATCAAATAACCACTGGACGTTTGCATTTAGGATAGTACAAAACCAATCGAAGTAGTTTAAGGAGCAACGTGAAAAATTTATTAGTTTAAGTAAAGGTGTTAATCGAGTTGAGTATTGTGAGTTTGAGCCTGACGAAATTATTTTTTTAAGCAAACTTAAAAAATTCTTCAAATTCGGCTCGTTTAGAATTTGAGCCCAGCACGAGTCCGAACCGAACCCGAGTTATGCTCGAATAACTCAACTATTTTAAATATAAATGAACCGATTTTTACAAACTTGAACTTAGCATTTTTTAGGCTTGTTTTTCTATATGATCCTAAACAATTGTCGAACTCAACTGGTTTAAAAGACGAGTCGACCTCGAGTCGAGTTTTATTTGAACCGAGTTTAAATAACTTGTTTCAATAAACACCCCTAAGTTCAAGCGACAAAGAAAAACTAAGATCATATTTGAGGGGTCAAATTATAATTTGTCCTTTTGGGAAAATCCGTGTTGTCTTTGAGGAATAAATTATCACCCAAAATAGGAGAGAGAAAAATAAATTACTTTCCAAAAAAAATAATAAGTCGCATGTGTGAGTGTGGCCCAAGAAAAATAAGAAAAGATTGAACGCGATGTGGATACTTTATCACCAATGTCATGTAATATCATCTTCAAATAAAAAATTTATACTTAAATAAGTGAATTCTATTTATTTTTGGTTACTACTTAGTACAAGTAATAAAAGAGAATTCATGTGATCTATTTATAAATTTTGGAAAAAATTTAGTCACACCCATTCTATTTTATTATATTTTAAAAGACATCTCCTCTATTTTCTAAATCTTCACTAACACCCCTGTTAGATTAAATGTGTTAATTAGAATGTAATTTTACTAAATTACCCATGATATATTTTATAAAAAATTTCATCCAAACCCCCTCTAGATAGACATATTTTTGAGTAATTAAAATATATTTTTTAAGTATTAAAATTTAAATCAATTAAAAATTATATTTTTTTTATGTATTTGAGCTAATTAAAATTCTATTCAAGGTTCAAATCAAATTTTAATCAACTAGCATTAAATTTTAATTGACCAAATTTTTGATACATAAAAAAATATAAATTTTAATTGACTCAAAAAGTAAATTTTAATCAACTTGAATCAAATTTTAATAAATAAAAATATATAAATTTTAATCGACTAGAATAAAATTTAAATTGGGGTTAACAACTCAAGTAGAGCTGAAATTGGCTCAAATTTTAATATTTAAAAAAAGACTTTTAATAGACTCAAATGTTAATACGTAAAAAATAAAATTTAGTCAGATTAAATTAGCTCAAATTTTAATATGTAAAAAAATAAATTTTAATCAGCTTAAATTTTATGTAAAAAAATTATTTAGGGTTTATGTAGGAGAAATTTTGGTATTTAAGATAATTTATTTTTGTTATAAATAGTGGTTTAATGGCAAAGGATTTCGGTGATCTTTAAATATAAACTAGAATGAGTGTTAGTGATGTTTTTAATAATAGAGAAGATGTTTTTAAGAATATGATAAACTAAAAGACGTGTAACTGAAATTTTCTCATCAATTTTTATTGGGTAATAATAATACGCGGTAATACTAACATAACGTTACTGTTACACCGAATATTTATTTAAAGAACACCCGGGAAATTGCAATTGCGTTTTCCCACGCTTCCTGCGAGGAGCCTCTGCAGTCCAAAAAGAACCAGAAGCAAAGATTTCAAAATTGGCGAAGAGAGAGTATGGACGAGGTGACGACAGAAAATACAGTTGAAGCTCCGAAATCTCGAATCGCCATTCGTTGCGCCCAAGTCTCAATTCTACTCTCGCCACTGAAACTCCCCCGAAATCACCGCCTCAATTCAAAAAACGGCCAACAGGTATGTGTGTGTGTTGTGTTGTTTCTGAATCATACATGCATAAATTGAATTCGTATTTTGCGAACCTGTTGTTTCGTTGCAATGGATGCGGTGCTAGGAAAGGGAGTTGATGTTGAAGGCCGAGGTGGAAGATCTGAGGAGAGATTTGCAGAAGGAGAGAGTGAAGAATAAGAAGCTGAGGCTCTGTTCTTTGATGGAGTTTTCTGTTCAGATCATTCTTTTGCTGTCTTTGTGGACTCTCTGTTTGATGATCGCCTTCGAATTCCTCTGAATTTTCTCACTGCCCGTCCACTTTATCCATTCCATTTCATCATTTCTGCTTGAAAATCGCATTTTCTTCTATCATTCTGTTTCTGTTATCAAATTTTTTGTTTTTGCATTGGAGGAGTAAGTGCTGTAAAAATCGTTTTGATTTCGAATGCTGACTAGTATTTGAAACTTAACTCTGGTAGGTTGAAGAAATATAGAAATTTTAGTTTGGTCTTGGATCTGATTAGGCTCATCAGATAATAGCTTAAATTTCTCTATCGTCTGTACGGCGACTAGTATTTTTTTCAATGAAGTCATTCTTTTCTCTTCATTGAATCTTTATTCATGTGCAGACCTGATGCGATGGTAAAGATATTTCAGGTTAGAGGTTCGAATTATAGAAATAGTCTTTTTATTTGCAAAGATAGAACTCTATATATTTAACTTTCTTCAAATTTTACAATAAAGAGAGCTTAATGTACCGAGTAAATCATTTTAAAAATGGCTTGAAATATGGCGGCACAGGTTCCAAAAAGGATTTGTTATGAACCTTGGCTTGTGTTAATCTCCATCTAGAGATGCAGGCGTTCCTNCGTGGAAATGGATGGAAGAATTTAATTGATAGTTAAGGACTAAATTAGGATTATTAAAATTTTAATGACTAAATTAAAATCATAGACAAGTTCAAGACCAACTACAATATTTACCCTAATAAAAATTGGTGTTATGACTGCAACTCTACTACATCACTGCCATTCATCCAAAGCCCTACCCGGTGTCTAACTGGAGAACCTGAAGTGCAAGCATAAATCATGGAAGCAGANATAAAATTACTAGTTATTGTCTGTACCTGAAGGTACAGAGTAATAAAAAATAAAAAATAATAAACATATTTGTATTCATATTCAAAATCAAATTACAAACATAGAGGAGAGATAAATGAATTAAAGCATCGGTTGTAATGGGGGTAAGTGGTGATGGTAGGAGACGATGATGATTGTGGTGAGTGACAATGACTATAGCGGCGGTGGCAACAATGGTGGTGGTGGTAGCAATGGTGGTTGTTTGTGGCGTGGGATGGCGGCGGTGGTGGTGGTGGCGGCGACAACGACGGTGATTGTGGTGGTGGTTGTAGTGACAGTGGCAATGGTGGTGGAGGCAGTGGCAGTGGCAATGGCAGTGGTGGTGGTAGAGATAGTAGAGGTAGTAGTAAGACGGTTTCAAGCACTATTTTTTTTTTAAGTAATTATGAAAAATAATTCTTAGAAGTACTTTTAAAAAGTCACTCCAAACACACCTTTAGACCCTTATCTTTCCTATTAAATTTAGAGTGATAATATAAGCCGTTAGATTAACTTCAAAATAAAATTTAAAATGATCTCAACTGCGAATAACAAAAGTCATTTTATTTATCTTTTGAAATTTAAGTTGTAAACTACTTTATTATATAAATGTTTTGCTACCCCCAACAATTAACTCTATTTTACTTTGCCCCTTAATTATTATTTTTTTCACAATGCACCTTCAACCATGATCATCAATTTTATATTTTTTCGATGATTAATGGCCCTTATAAATTTAATGAAAAGTTATCTAAGTATTTCTTCCAAACGATGCGTTTTGGTTTCACTTTATTCTACTACTAAGGACAATTTCTATCAAATAACCACTGGACGTTTGCATTTAGGATAGTACAAAACCAATCGAAGTAGTTTAAGGAGCAACGTGAAAAATTTATTAGTTTAAGTAAAGGTGTTAATCGAGTTGAGTATTGTGAGTTTGAGCCTGACGAAATTATTTTTTTAAGCAAACTTAAAAAATTCTTCAAATTCGGCTCGTTTAGAATTTGAGCCCAGCACGAGTCCGAACCGAACCCGAGTTATGCTCGAATAACTCAACTATTTTAAATATAAATGAACCGATTTTTACAAACTTGAACTTAGCATTTTTTAGGCTTGTTTTTCTATATGATCCTAAACAATTGTCGAACTCAACTGGTTTAAAAGACGAGTCGACCTCGAGTCGAGTTTTATTTGAACCGAGTTTAAATAACTTGTTTCAATTAACACCCCTAAGTTCAAGCGACAAAGAAAAACTAAGATCATATTTGAGGGGTCAAATTATAATTTGTCCTTTTGGGAAAATCCGTGTTGTCTTTGAGGAATAAATTATCACCCAAAATAGGAGAGAGAAAAATAAATTACTTTCCAAAAAAAATAATAAGTCGCATGTGTGAGTGTGGCCCAAGAAAAATAAGAAAAGATTGAACGCGATGTGGATACTTTATCACCAATGTCATGTAATATCATCTTCAAATAAAAAATTTATACTTAAATAAGTGAATTCTATTTATTTTTGGTTACTACTTAGTACAAGTAATAAAAGAGAATTCATGTGATCTATTTATAAATTTTGGAAAAAATTTAGTCACACCCTTTCTATTTTATTATATTTTAAAAGACATCTCTATTTTCTGAATTTTCACTAACACCCCTGTTAGATTAAATGTGTTAATTAGAATGTAATTTTACTAAATTACCCATGATATATTTTAGGAAAATTTTCATCCAAACCCCCTCTAGATAGACATATTTTCGAGTAATTAAAATTTATTTTTTATGTATTAAAATTTAAATCAATTAAAAATTATTTTTTTTTACGTATTTGAGCTGATTAAAATTCTATTCAAGGTTCAAATCAAATTTTAATCAACTAGCATTAAATTTTAATTGACCAAATTTTTGATACATAAAAAAATATAAATTTTAATTGACTCAAAAAGTAAATTTTAATCAACTTGAATCAAATTTTAATAAATAAAAGTATATAAATTTTAATCGACTAGAATAAAATTTAAATTGGGGTTAACAACTCAAGTAGAGCTGAAATTGGCTCAAATTTTAATATTTAAAAAAAGACTTTTAATAGACTCAAATGTTAATACGTAAAAAATAAAATTTAGTCAGATTAAATTAGCTCAAATTTTAATATGTAAAAAAATAAATTTTAATCAGCTTAAATTTTATGTAAAAAAATTATTTAGGGTTTATGTAGGAGAAATTTTGGTATTTAAGATAATTTATTTTTGTTAGAAATAGTGGTTTAATGGCAAAGGATTTCGGTGATCTTTAAATATAAACTAGAATGAGTGTTAGTGATGTTTTTAATAATAGAGGATGTGTTTTTAAGAATATGATAAACTAAAAGGCGTGTAACTGAAATTTTCTCATAAATTTTTATTGGGTAATAATAATACGCGGTAATACTAACATAACGTTACTGTTACACCGAATATTTATTTAAAGAACACCCGGGAAATTGCAATTGCGTTTTCCCACGCTTCCTGCGAGGAGCCTCTGCAGTCCAAAAAGAACCAGAAGCAAAGATTTCAAAATTGGCGAAGAGAGAGAGTATGGACGAGGTGACGACAGAAAATACAGTTGAAGCTCCGAAATCTCGAATCGCCATTCGTTGCGCCCAAGTCTCAATTCTACTCTCGCCACTGAAACTCCCCCGAAATCACCGCCTCAATTCAAAAAACGGCCAACAGGTATGTGTGTGTGTTGTGTTGTTTCTGAATCATACATGCATAAATTGAATTCGTATTTTGCGAACCTGTTGTTTCGTTGCAATGGATGCGGTGTTAGGAAAGGGAGTTGATGTTGAAGGCCGAGGTGGAAGATCTGAGGAGAGATTTGCTGAAGGAGAGAGTGAAGAATAAGAAGCTGAGGCTCTGTTCTTTGATGGAGTTTTCTGTTCAGATCATTCTTTTGCTGTCTTTGTGGACTCTCTGTTTGATGATCGCCTTCGAATTCCTCTGAATTTTCTCACTGCCCGTCCACTTTATCCATTCCATTTCATCATTTCTGCTTGAAAATCGCATTTTCTTCTATCATTCTGTTTCTGTTATCAAATTTTTTGTTTTTGCATTGGAGGAGTAAGTGCTGTAAAAATCGTTTTGATTTCGAATGCTGACTAGTATTTGAAACTTAACTCTGGTAGGTTGAAGAAATATAGAAATTTTAGTTTGGTCTTGGATCTGATTAGGCTCATCAGATAATAGCTTAAATTTCTCTATCGTCTGTACGGCGACTAGTATTTTTTTCAATGAAGTCATTCTTTTCTCTTCATTAAATCTTTATTCATGTGCAGGCCTGATGCGATGGTAAAGATATTTCAGGTTATAGATTCGAATTATAGAAATAGTCTTTTTATTTGCAAAGATAGAACTCTATATATTTAACCTTCTTCAAATTTTACAATAAAGAGAGCTTCATGTACCGAGTAAATCATTTTAAGAATGGCTTGAAATATGGCGGCACAGGTTCCAAAAAGGATTTGTTATGAACCTTGGCTTGTGTTAATCTCCATCTAGAGATGCAGGCGTTCAGCATATTATGGCTCATGTTAGGTAGACAGAGCAAGTCAATAGGATATGTGTAGCTTGTACAACCTTTTTATCTAGGAATACATAGCCAATAAAAAAATGAATTAGATCAAAGGAAAATTAAAAAAAAAAAAAAGGAAAAAAAGAACGCTGGGAACAAAATCCACAAATTTGGAATATGTTTTCACCTAATTTAGGTTGCTTTGGCCCTTGAATGACCTACTTGTTGAATGCGCATTCTTGTGTGTTCCATGAAATCCCTAATGCTCCGTTTTGTGCGGTGAAAAAAATGAAAGGATGAAAAATTAAAAGGATGAAAAGTTAGAAGAATAGATAAAATATCATATTTGGTAAAGAATGAAAGTAAAAATGATGAAAAAGTAGATGAATTAACTTTCCTTCCAACTCACCAAAATCAATTCTTTTAAAATCGAAAAGAAAGTGGATGAAAAATTAATTAGTTGTGCTGAAGTGTATCTTATTTGTCTATATATATTATGCATACATTAATTTCATATAAAAATATAATAATTCATTTTAACTAAAGGTGAAAATTTTNACAGAACAAGGTAGAAGGATCTTATGCTGCATACCTACCTTTTATTAGGACAATTAAAAGTTCTAGCACGGGATTAGAATCATCAAATTGAAGGCGTGTGGGGATGCGAATATGCTGTGGGTAACTACTATGTGAATAATGTCAATTCTTTATTTTGTTATTATAAATTTCGTTTNTAACTAAATATGATGACACGAGTCAAACTTGACACAAATTTTATGACATTAATTTGATTATAACTCGATACGAACTTAAAAATGATCTAACACGCAAATAAGAAATATAAAAAACTCAAAATTTTATGATTCAACACAAATCTGACACGACATAACTCAATTGTCAATCTTAATTTTAGTCATCACAAAAAAAAAATTAAAAAAAATTACTCATTTTTATTTTGTATCTATCCAACTAAACACAAAGTAAGGAAAGTGTATTATTCCTGTTTTCTTTCCTTGAAGGATAGAAAGTGTATTTCTCATATTTTCTATTATTTATACTTTTCATCCATCATACCAAACGGAACTTAAGACAGTAGTTCTAGAATTCCCACGTTAATCAAGAACAACGAAAAGAAGTATTCAAATCACCGATTCAAATCTATTGTTGAATCCTACTGAAAGGAATATGGAGAATGAGTTAGATCTTATCTTTTAAAGAGAGTTTTGGTATACAGAAAATTCTGCTCTTTATTTTTAGGAAAAGCCTTGGATGAATATGGCAGGAGCACTTTCTAGTGTAATGTAGTAGTCTGAAATGAAAGAAGGGAGAGTCCATGTGGTTCTACAGAACTTGGCACCAGCAATAATTTGTAAAAATGTTAATTCTTTTTGTTCCTACCTTGTTTGCCTGAACCCACCACCAATTCATCATGCTTAATGATACAGAGACGCACATGTTATTTACGTTGCTCTAATGAATTTGTTCGTAATGTTTGTTTTCTCAGGTCCCAAATACTTGCAATATTTCTCATTCGATTGTTTGAAAACTGTCAGTCTAATCATGCCTGACAAAAAGTGAGAAATCTGTATTCATCTGCTTCATTTGAAACTGATCTTTTTCGTAACAAAATGAGTAAATATTATAATTGGTCTTAAATTTTGCCTCCAGTTTTAATTTGGACCTCGAACTTTCAATTGTCCTAATTTGATCCATCAACTATCAATTTTATTTCAATTAAACCCTTCCATTTATTTCCACCGTTAGATTAACCGAAGACTATTCCAATTTGATCCATTTCAGTGTTGATGTGGAAATGGACGGAAGAATTTAATTGATAGTTAAGGACTAAATTAGGATTATTAAAATTTTAATGACTAAATTAAAATCATAGACAAGTTCAAGACCAACTACAATATTTACCCTAATAAAAATTGGTGTTATGACTGCAACTCTACTACATCACTGCCATTCATCCAAAGCCCTACCCGGTGTCTAACTAGAGAACCTGAAGTGCAAGCATAAATCATGGAAGCAGACATTCAAAGTTTTAACTTGGTATGCAAGAAAAAAGAAAGCTGCCGGGATAATGCAAATCATCAATATATGGTCAGCCTACGCCTCACAAACAACGAAGTTTTTGAGAATCTTGTAATCCTTCGAGCTGTCTACTGCAGCAGCAGCAATCCCCAAGGGGGCAGTTAATGGTCGGGTTTGGTAACGCTAACAGCCTACTACTGCAAAATCCAATTTCATAATATTTCTACAAGCACCACCACAGCTTCTATGAAGTACTTTCTTACAACAGTCACAGTACCTATCCTATATTTTCAGAAATTACAGACATCAACTTGCAATGCTCAAACCCTTCACTATATATATATTTTGATACGAAGAGTGCTTCAAAAAACAATCATGTAGCATTGGAAGTGAAAAGGAAGTGTATACTCCAACGTGTTCTGTAGAACAGTTCATGTCGGACTGCTATGTGCAAATCAGTTCTTCATGAGCACAGAAAATTTTTCTCACCTGAACAGAACAAGGTAGAAGGATCTTATGCTGCATACCTACCTTTTATTAGGACCATTAAAAGTTCTAGCACGGGATTAGAATCATCAAATTGAAGGCGTGTGGGGATGCGAATATGCTGTGGGTAACTACTATGTGAATAATGTCAATTCTTTATTTTGTTATTATAAATTTCGTTTCATTCATCTCTGTCCAGCGGTATGCAGTCTGAAAACCCGATTGTTAAATGCAGAAAATAGAATTCAATATCTGGGAGACTATAATGATATGTGTAAAAATCAAATGTGGAGCAAGCAAAATTTGTCGGAAAGGTGATTGGCTCAGCATCGGGGGAAAATAGCATCGAACTAATATTCAAAATGTTTTGGGGAATGAAAATAGGAATACCTCTAATCAAATGCATAGGGATCATCTGCATATGGATTCAGAGATCCTTCTGAGAACAAATCACCTATGTTCGAAGGGTTTGGATGACGCCCTCCTTTAATTCCCTGCACAATATTTGAAAAAAACGCTCAAAACAAGCTAAAGGAAATGCTGTGGCATTGCACCGGAAACACTATTAAAACAAAAACCAGAAGGGTCTCCATTATCAGTCATATAGATAGAGAAGTTCAAGCGTCTCATGATTCTAGTTTACTTTACTTATGGTAATCAATTGGGAAGCTTCTTTTTTGAATTATTTCTAGACAGATTGGGATATTTCATTATAATCAAAATATTCCAAATGCAGATTCATAACAGCTTTAACGGCATGTGAGGACAGTAGAATTTCCCAAGCATATTGATTCTTCTAGTACCAGTTACCTGTACTGCCCACTTAACCTGGCAGAAGTTCTTTTCCTAGAACTAGCCATTAGAGAATGTAGGAACTCGGAGGGAAACCAAAAATGACCAATTTAACCAAATAGCAAGCCNTACTGCCCACTTAACCTGGCAGAAGTTCTTTTCCTAGAACTAGCCATTATAGAATGTAGGAACTCGGAGGGAAACCAAAAATGACCAATTTAACCAAATAGCAAGCCNTGGCACCAGCAATAATTTGTAAAAATGTTAATTCTTTTTGTTCCTACCTTGTTTGCCTGAACCCACCACCAATTCATCATGCTTAATGATACAGAGACGCACATGTTATTTACATTGCTCTAATGAATTTGTTCGTAATGTTTGTTTTCTCAGGTCCCAAATACTTGCAATATTTCTCATTCGATTGTCTGAAAACTGTCAGTCTAATCATGCCTGACAAAAAGTGAGAAATCTGTATTCATCTGCTTCATTTGAAACTGATCTTTTTCGTAACAAAATGAGTAAATATTATAATTGGTCTTAAATTTTGCCTCCAGTTTTAATTTGGACCTCGAACTTTCAATTGTCCTAATTTGATCCATCAACTATCAATTTTATTTCAATTAAACCCTTCCATTTATTTCCACCGTTAGATTAACCGAAGACTATTCCAATTTGATCCATTTCAGTGTTGACGTGGAAATGGATGGAAGAATTTAATTGATAGTTAAGGACTAAATTAGGATTATTAAAATTTTAATGACTAAATTAAAATCATAGACAAGTTCAAGACCAACTACAATATTTACCCTAATAAAAATTGGTGTTATGACTGCAACTCTACTACATCACTGCCATTCATCCAAAGCCCTACCCGGTGTCTAACTGGAGAACCTGAAGTGCAAGCATAAATCATGGAAGCAGACATTCAAAGTTTTAACTTGGTATGCAAGAAAAAAGAAAGCTGCCGGGATAATGCAAATCATCAATATATGGTCAGCCTACGCCTCACAAACAACGAAGTTTTTGAGAATCTTGTAATCCTTCGAGCTGTCTACTGCAGCAGCAGCAATCCCCAAGGGGGCAGTTAATGGTCGGGTTTGGTAACGCTAACAGCCTACTACTGCAAAATCCAATTTCATAATATTTCTACAAGCACCACCACAGCTTCTATGAAGTACTTTCTTACAACAGTCACAGTACCTATCCTATATTTTCAGAAATTACAGACATCAACTTGCAATGCTCAAACCCTTCACTATATATATATTTTGATACGAAGAGTGCTTCAAAAAACAATCATGTAGCATTGGAAGTGAAAAGGAAGTGTATACTCCAACGTGTTCTGTAGAACAGTTCATGTCGGACTGCTATGTGCAAATCAGTTCTTCATGAGCACAGAAAATTTTTCTCACCTGAACAGAACAAGGTAGAAGGATCTTATGCTGCATACCTACCTTTTATTAGGACCATTAAAAGTTCTAGCACGGGATTAGAATCATCAAATTGAAGGCGTGTGGGGATGCGAATATGCTGTGGGTAACTACTATGTGAATAATGTCAATTCTTTATTTTGTTATTATAAATTTCGTTTCATTCATCTCTGTCCAGCGGTATGCAGTCTGAAAACCCGATTGTTAAATGCAGAAAATAGAATTCAATATCTGGGAGACTATAATGATATGTGTAAAAATCAAATGTGGAGCAAGCAAAATTTGTCGGAAAGGTGATTGGCTCAGCATCGGGGGAAAATAGCATCGAACTAATATTCAAAATGTTTTGGGGAATGAAAATAGGAATACCTCTAATCAAATGCATAGGGATCATCTGCATATGGATTCAGAGATCCTTCTGAGAACAAATCACCTATGTTCGAAGGGTTTGGATGACGCCCTCCTTTAATTCCCTGCACAATATTTGAAAAAAACGCTCAAAACAAGCTAAAGGAAATGCTGTGGCATTGCACCGGAAACACTATTAAAACAAAAACCAGAAGGGTCTCCATTATCAGTCATATAGATAGAGAAGTTAAAGCGTCTCATGATTCTAGTTTACTTTACTCATGGTAATCAATTGGGAAGCTTCTTTTTTGAATTATTTCTAGACAGATTGGGATATTTCATTATAATCAAAATATTCCAAATGCAGATTCATAACAGCTTTAACGGCATGTGAGGACAGTAGAATTTCCCAAGCATATTGATTCTTCTAGTACCAGTTACCTGTACTGCCCACTTAACCTGGCAGAAGTTCTTTTCCTAGAACTAGCCATTATAGAATGTAGGAACTCGGAGGGAAACCAAAAATGACCAATTTAACCAAATAGCAAGCCTAGAAATGACTTCTTCAGCTTTTAGTTACCTTGATATCATTTCTGGGGGTCTTGGCTTTTGGCGTTTCCCCCTTTTTATGCTTTCTTGGATCCTAGTGTAACACCAACAATATTGTAAATCATTAGATATATAGACAAAAATCCTGCCAAGTAACTAGCCAACCTCCTTATATGAAGCGCACAAGGATACATGCAACTGGTTGATTTCTTTCAAAGGGCAAAGTACATACCCCAAACATGACCGTACTTTTTGTTTTTCTTCGTTTTGTAATTGTTCTACCATTTGCAGTTTCAACCTCATATTCATGGCGAGTCACCTGCCATGCCACGAAGAAAATTGAGAAAGGCAAGTGGGATAAAGGCATCGGTCCACTCTGAACATATGATAAGCTTGAGATGAAAGAACCGGACTCCTCAATAAAAATCACATAGAAAGTAAGATACTAAGAGAAATAATCAATTACTCACTTTTCCTCCCAATAAATTTCTCCCTTTTTTTCCCAGGTTTAGGAGTTCAATAATACAATCCCTGTCCCTATAAGCTTAATAGCTCTGGAGCTAAGGGTTATTGTTTCTCAAACCAACTCAAAACACATCAAATTATATAAGAAGACATGCATTTCGCACCAGTTTTGCATACACACACATAGGAGTGAAAGTAAGGAAGTATCTCACCTTCCTACTGTGCTTAGGAATAGTCATTACACTTCCTGAGTTCACCTTCTCCACTTTCTTCAATAAGTTTGACACTGGCGTTTGTGTTGCTCTCAGGAAAGGCGACTCCTACAAAAAACACAGAGATATAGACTAATACTGCAACATTTGTAAACTGTGACAAAGGGAAAATAATTTGTCATTTTGCTATCACCTTCTCTTCATCTTCAGCTCTGACCAGAGCATGCTGACCTCTTTTGCCCCCATCAGAACTTCTCATCTTGGTCGACGAGATGGAGTAATTCTGAGAAATCATAAAATTTTTGAAGTGACCAAAATTGCTTATTATTAGCAATTCGTCATGCTGATACCATCCATTGAATTTTAACACTCACAATTTTTTATGTGCAGTTACTTCTGCCATCACTTTTAATCCATTATTTGTTTTTATGCAAGTGAGGACATCCAATGATAGCAAAGCCACATATATGTATACACAAACATATATATCATCCCCAGAACTATACATAAATACGGTGAGATCATAAATACAAAGCTTTTTTTTTTTTTTTTTGGACATCATAAATACAAAGCTAAAAAACTGCAGAAAATGCAGCATTCCATACAGCAAATCAGAAGACCCTTGAAACAAGAAGGATTGTGTCAGTAGCAATTATAAAGATCAGCAGTACAAAAAGCTATAGTAAGGAATCTATCTTGATTTCAAACACTACAACTACAAGCTGACCGAACGTGAATGGAGCATGTTAGATTCCAATCTTTTGAGGGCCTCAATAACCTTGCATAAGTTTCACACTCACACCCATGGGTATTGCTAAGGTGATCATAAGATACACCAATTAGGATGGTATCTCAACCATGTATAAACTACATGTGGCTCACGCCATAGGTTGGCTCTCATGATCGTCATATTAGCTAAGCTGGGCTAAAAGAGAAAAGAAACTCTATTATACACAACACAATGTTGCAATTCAATTACAATAGCACACTGTAACAGAGTGTAGGTATTAAAATTTGTATTGATTTATGGTGGCCACTGACCAGTTTTTGATACTCATTAATTTGAAAGACTAAAAATTTATCTTTGAAACAAACGGAGAACTTCAACGTAAAGTTGATCAAACCTTCTGATAACTCGCGTCCATCCATGATAGACAACATTAAAAAATATCCTTCAAGACATCTCGTTATGACACATAACAAGGATGGGAATATTCACACATCTGTATCATAGTGAGCACGCACACATGGAGGTATACTGGAAAGGGGACATTTTTAATTCTATATTGCAAATAAAGTCAGACCTTTTTGGAATTCACTTCCTGGTCCTCTTGTGCGTTGTCACTCATTACTTTCCACTGCAATTGCAATAAAGCCCTCTGTCTGTCTTCCTGTAATATAGAATGATCACTTTCAGAAAGCTGCAGGAAATATATACTTAAAGCAGTTTCAAGAATGACATACTCTGGACTTCTGAATATTCAATTCCTCCTGAAGTTTCCTACATTCATCTTCATGCTGACACTTCAAAGCTCTTAACTGAACGTCATGTTCATTCCTGAGTGTCGCTGTTTTCTGTAAATCATTGACACTCACCAATTTGATCAATGTGTAACATCAAAACTGATGATTCAGTCATAAATTCAGAGAGACATGCACCTCTCTCAATTCATTTTCAGCTTGAAGTTGGACACGCTTTAGCTCTTCACTGTGGTCAAATATAAGAATGGATTCCTTCTTATCATTCTCCTGCTGAAGACAACTAAGCTACAAAAATGGATAGGGTGAAACAAATGTCAAAAAACATGCAAAATCCACATACGAAACCAGTACCTGTCAAAATGACCAAGTACAACCTGGAGACAAAGAAAAACTTATTTTCTCTCTTAACAAACTAACTTCCATTACCTAAGTCAAACAAAGTGTGACAACCAAATTGCAGATGGACTTATAGCATAATCAGGTGATGGTGTAGACAAGAAAAAGCCAGCTCCTAGATTTGTGATAGGAAAGAAAGTTCTGCTAGCATAATGGCATGAATTACTTTGATGGCATCAAAAACAAGTGAAAAAATAGAGGCGCTAGAGATGATAAAATAATGAAAAAGATAAAGATTAGATCTATTAAGAGGTGTAGTACGCGAAATGAAACAACAACGAACAACCATTAAACTTTAGACATCCATATTTTTATGATGCATACCAAAGCAGCGTGCTCTTCCTGTACCCGCACCAAGTACTGTTTTGATTCCTCCTTGCATTCTGCAAGCTTCTGGTCATATTTTCTTTCCATTTCTCCAATAACTTTGTCAGCCTTGAAGTTCCAACAGGTAAAAGTTAAAAAAATACAGCTCACAGTCAACAAATAGATCAGCTGACAAAAATATGATGAGCAGACCTTTTCTTTCTCAAGATTAACACTCTCCAGCTTCTCCACCTCATACTTCCTCCGAATGTCGTTAATGGCCTGATCAAACTCCTCTCAATGTTAGTTTCAAGGATCTTGCTTCATTATCTAATGCTGAAAGTTCACACAAGGTTAAAGATACAAAGAAAAACACCTGATCATTTTTCTGAGATATTTCCTTCAAATGCCTTGACAGTTCCAATTGCTTACTTTCTAACATCTGATCATATTGCTTCTTAGCTTCTGTAAGCTTACTTTCAGCATCAACTAGCAAGGCTTGAACCTGTAGTAAGATAATAAATAGATTCTTACAGTTAATCAGGAGGTCATGTTAAGATAAATAAAACTAATAACTCAAAAACCTCTGTTTTTTGATCTTTCAGCTGTTTCTCTTTGTCCTTGAATTGCAGAACAAGCTGTTCCTTCTCCTCTAATGTACTACCAAGTTGACTGACTTGTTTCTCTAGTGCCTCTACATGTTGTTCATGCATCCTAATCTCTTTCTGCAGTACAACTATTTCTTCATTTTTCTTCTGTATCTCTGCTTGTAGGTTTTCTGTATTATCTTTGTTCTCATTCTCTAATGCTGAAAGTTTCAACAACAATTCTTGCTGCAAGGTTAAAGTAAAAGCAGGTTAAGCATAAGCATAGCATGCTAAAATGGCACCATGGATTAAAAGGAAAAAAATGTACCATTTTTTCCTCGGATAATCTTGAAGACTCTATTGAAGTGTCAATTTTCTCCTGCAATTTGGGGATCAAAATCTCCATGTCAGTCCTCTTAGAAAGAAGAGTTTCTGCTTCGGACTCCAACCTACGAATTCTCTCTTCTGCTAAACGGCATTCTTCTGCATGCTGCACCATTGCAAATTCTTGTTGTTTCTGAAGTTCAATAACCTTATTGTTCAACTCCTGATTAACCAACTGTGCTGCATCTTTTTCTGATGTAATACGCAAGGTTTGATCATGAAGCTGATCAAATTTATGCTGAGCACTCTGAGCAGCAATGTGCCTCTCCTCCTGGCCCATCTTAAAGCAGGAGTCATACAAAGCATTAAGCTGAACAACCTTCTCTGAAAAGCTCAAACTTTGATTATCCAATTCAATCAACTTTGCAGCCAGCACATTTATAAAATCCTCAAGGTTCTTTATCTTGCAAAGTGCCATGTCTACTTTGTTAGAAAACTCTTGGTTGCTTGATAAAAGATCACGTTTTTCATTCTCCAGGTTNGTAAAGTTGATCAAACCTTCTGATAACTCGCGTCCATCCATGATAGACAACATTAAAATATATCCTTCAAGACATCTCATTATGACACATAACAAGGATGGGAATATTCACACATCTGTATCATAGTGAGCACGCACACATGGAGGTATACTGGAAAGGGGACATTTTTAATTCTATATTGCAAATAAAGTCAGACCTTTTTGGAATTCACTTCCTGGTCCTCTTGTGCGTTGTCACTCATTACTTTCCACTGCAATTGCAATAAAGCCCTCTGTCTGTCTTCCTGTAATATAGAATGATCACTTTCAGAAAGCTGCAGGAAATATATACTTAAAGCAGTTTCAAGAATGACATACTCTGGACTTCTGAATATTCAATTCCTCCTGAAGTTTCCTACATTCATCTTCATGCTGACACTTCAAAGCTCTTAACTGAACGTCATGTTCATTCCTGAGTGTCGCTGTTTTCTGTAAATCATTGACACTCACCAATTTGATCAATGTGTAACATCAAAACTGATGATTCAGTCATAAATTCAGAGAGACATGCACCTCTCTCAATTCATTTTCAGCTTGAAGTTGGACACGCTTTAGCTCTTCACTGTGGTCAAATATAAGAATGGATTCCTTCTTATCATTCTCCTGCTGAAGACAACTAAGCTACAAAAATGGATAGGGTGAAACAAATGTCAAAAAACATGCAAAATCCACATACGAAACCAGTACCTGTCAAAATGACCAAGTACAACCTGGAGACAAAGAAAAACTTATTTTCTCTCTTAACAAACTAACTTCCATTACCTAAGTCAAACAAAGTGTGACAACCAAATTGCAGATGGACTTATAGCATAATCAGGTGATGGTGTAGACAAGAAAAAGCCAGCTCCTAGATTTGTGATAGGAAAGAAAGTTCTGCTAGCATAATGGCATGAATTACTTTGATTGCATCAAAAACAAGTGAAAAAATAGAGGCGCTAGAGATGATAAAATAATGAAAAAGANGTAGACAAGAAAAAGCCAGCTCCTAGATTTGTGATAGGAAAGAAAGTTCTGCTAGCATAATGGCATGAATTACTTTGATGGCATCAAAAACAAGTGAAAAAATAGAGGCGCTAGAGATGATAAAATAATGAAAAAGATAAAGATTAGATCTATTAAGAGGTGTAGTACGCGAAATGAAACAACAACGAACAACCATTAAACTTTAGACATCCATATTTTTATGATGCATACCAAAGCAGCGTGCTCTTCCTGTACCCGCACCAAGTACTGTTTTGATTCCTCCTTGCATTCTGCAAGCTTCTGGTCATATTTTCTTTCCATTTCTCCAATAACTTTGTCAGCCTTGAAGTTCCAACAGGTAAAAGTAAAAAAAATACAGCTCACAGTCAACAAATAGATCAGCTGACAAAAATATGATGAGCAGACCTTTTCTTTCTCAAGATTAACACTCTCCAGCTTCTCCACCTCATACTTCCTCCGAATGTCGTTAATGGCCTGATCAAACTCCTCTCAATGTTAGTTTCAAGGATCTTGCTTCATTATCTAATGCTGAAAGTTCACACAAGGTTAAAGATACAAAGAAAAACACCTGATCATTTTTCTGAGATATTTCCTTCAAATGCCTTGACAGTTCCAATTGCTTACTTTCTAACATCTGATCATATTGCTTCTTAGCTTCTGTAAGCTTACTTTCAGCATCAACTAGCAAGGCCTGAACCTGTAGTAAGATAATAAATAGATTCTTACAGTTAATCAGGAGGTCATGTTAAGATAAATAAAACTAATAACTCAAAAACCTCTGTTTTTTGATCTTTCAGCTGTTTCTCTTTGTCCTTGAATTGCAGAACAAGCTGTTCCTTCTCCTCTAATGTACTACCAAGTTGACTGACTTGTTTCTCTAGTGCCTCTACATGTTGTTCATGCATCCTAATCTCTTTCTGCAGTACAACTATTTCTTCATTTTTCTTCTGTATCTCTGCTTGTAGGTTTTCTGTATTATCTTTGTTCTCATTCTCTAATGCTGAAAGTTTCAACAACAATTCTTGCTGCAAGGTTAAAGTAAAAGCAGGTTAAGCATAAGCATAGCATGCTAAAATGGCACCATGGATTAAAAGGAAAAAAATGTACCATTTTTTCCTCGGATAATCTTGAAGACTCTATTGAAGTGTCAATTTTCTCCTGCAATTTGGGGATCAAAATCTCCATGTCAGTCCTCTTAGAAAGAAGAGTTTCTGCTTCGGACTCCAACCTATGAATTCTCTCTTCTGTTAAACGGCATTCTTCTGCATGCTGCACCATTGCAAATTCTTGTTGTTTCTGAAGTTCAATAACCTTATTGTTCAACTCCTGATTAACCAACTGTGCTGCATCTTTTTCTGATGTAATACGCAAGGTTTGATCATGAAGCTGATCAAATTTATGCTGAGCACTCTGAGCAGCAATGTGCCTCTCCTCCTGGCCCATCTTAAAGCAGGAGTCATACAAAGCATTAAGCTGAACAACCTTCTCTGAAAAGCTCAAACTTTGATTATCCAATTCAATCAACTTTGCAGCCAGCACATTTATAAAATCCTCAAGGTTCTTTATCTTGCAAAGTGCCATGTCTACTTTGTTAGAAAACTCTTGGTTGCTTGATAAAAGATCACGTTTTTCATTCTCCAGGTTCTCCTTGAAGTCCCTCAAATGGTTGAGGTCATCCTCCTTTGACTTCAACTCGAGATGCAGCGATTCCAACTTAGAATTCATATTCTCCATGGTCAATCCATTAGCTGTGACAGTTGCCTCAAAATTCTTGATCGTACAATCTGCTCAAAGAAAAAAATTGCATTGACGCAATCCACCAATCTTAAACTGAATCAATTTATTATGCATCATCTTATGTGAATGAGAAAAACTGAAGTTATTCTGAAATGCAAATCTCAAAATTNGAATCTGCTCAAAGAAAAAAATTGCATTGACGCAATCCACCAATCTTAAACTGAATCAATTTATTATGTATCATCTTATGTGAATGAGAAAAACTGAAGTTATTCTGAAATGCAAATCTCAAAATTGCATGTCTATCAATAGGAAAGTGATAAAATCTGGAGGTCAAACCACATCCAAGCATAAGGGAAGAGTATATTGATGAAAAGGGCCTATAAAAGGTTTGAATTGAGTTTTCTTTCTTCTTTTCCTCAACCCTCCCCCATCCCCCGGTCACTACCTACATAAGAATTTGTGTCATGACTTCATTTCTAAGTTGTAGCCAACCGCTAGCCTCACAAAGAAGCTCAACTCTTGTACCACTGCAGCAATTGTGCACCATTAAATCACGGGACGCCAATAAACTGGCAAGGGTAACTCATCAGACGATGAAAGGCAACAACTTTTATGCTCCATGATTTGATGAGACAGCAGAACCAACCCGACCAAATTGATTCCTTTAATTGAGTATAACTATACATGGATTGACTTGGGCTACTGGAATGAAAAGATAGAGCAAAATTTGGCAACGAGGAAAAAAGAGGTTGATTGATGGGCCTCAAGGCCCTCAACTTGGGATGAAAGAAATATTCTGCATGAACAGAATTTTATGTGTTAAATGAGCAAGGGAAGAAACCGCTACCGCTAGATCCAGATTAGGACAGGACATAGTTCCTGCTAAAGATAAGAATTTTTTTTCATTTTTCGAACTGCAAGATAAAAAAATTTTTGAGCTTCATTTGAAAAAATCCTTCCTTAACGTGAAGCTGGGAAAAGAAGGATGTTACAAATTTAAATTCATTGAGCACCGCGAATGAAGCATGCTATTCAATAACTACAACCACTAATGGAACAAGTATAGGAGAAGCCCCAGTTGCAAAAATAGTAGAAGGCACACAAAATCAATTCAGTTTAACTCATAATCCTCCTAAATAACCAAAAATACTAATGGTGATGAGATGATGACGACAATGATGACAAAATTCACAAATTATCTTCATAGTTCCAAATATATGATGCCCTTTGTTCAAAAAACAAAATATATGATGCCAACCCAAAGTCTGAAATTTTCGAGGTCAACTCCTCTTCCTCATATACAAGGAGAGAAAAGTATGCATATATATGTGCCTCTTTTGTAATTGGCGGCAAAATATGCAAGTCACCTTCATATTTCCAAATATATGATACCTAACCAATTCCAGTGATTTAAGAGGTCATTTCCTCTTTCCTCCTATACAGTGGGAATACAAAAGGCTGTGCCTCTTCTTGCAATTTCCTCATTGTTGAAGCCATAATGCTTGAATCAGTAAGGATTTGATTATTAAGGCATTTTACTTGAGCCTCTGGCTGAGGAGATTCATGACTGCCTCTCAGGGTCTTCTTTGAGGACTAGGGTAATATACCTGTCCCCGTGAAATTATTTTACACCAGTCTGCCATTGATTTGTATTCTAACATACTGTCAAAGTAGCCAGTCCACAGAAGAGGTCCATAACATGTGCAATCTATTGCAAGTTAAATTACATGAGATATTTTACAACCAAACTAGAGGGATTTTTACCTTTTTCTTCAATGATGCCAGTCACTCTGCACTGTTCATCTCTAAAAGCTTTTTCTCTTTCCTGTTTCTCAATGACAAGTTCCTTCAGCTCTTTTTCACCTGCATCATATTCAAAAAAGTTTCATGTAGGGCTAGATGTGCAGCAAGTACTGTACTTAGTGTTGGAGGTACCTAACTGGACAAGTGTCACTTGAAGAACTGAAATGGTCTCTGTTAAATAACGAAATAAGTACACTTACGATTTCTAACGGTTTCCTCTGAAGATTCCAACCTCAACGACAGACACTTCATCTGGTCATGCAAATTATCAAGAGCTACCGAAGTTCCTGATAATTTGTCTTCAAAACATGCCTTGTCTTTTTCAGCTGTGAATGGAAATCGATAATAAATTACTAACTTTGGACCATATCCAACTGATAAAATCTATAAGTTCACTATGGAGTACCTACCATCTTGAACCTGACCAGCTAAGTGCTGTAAAGTTTCAGTAAGTTGATCACATAAGGTCTTCGTTGAAGAAAATTTTGACTCCAGCCCTTTCCAAAGTTTCCCATCTTCTTTCTGCTTCACTTGGAGCTTTGCATTTTCATTGAACGCATTCTGCAATTTTTCTTCTAACACATGAACGTGCTCTGTCAATTTCTTTAGCTTGGAATTCTGCATTAACAAAATTGTTCTTTAATAAATCATTCCCTATCTCTAACAGAATTCACATATTATATGCAGAACAAAATTTGCTATTAAGCCTCAAACTTGTAGCCTAACAGTTTTATCGATATATTTATCAAAATATGTGTAAATGCGGGTGCGCAAACACACACACACATGCAGAGAAGTTACTATACCGCCAAGTCAAGATCAGTTTTTGCGGAAGCTTGCTCTTTGACCAATTTTTCTGCTCAAGAACATATCAATAACACAATTCATCAAATAAAACACCTTTTTATGCCTATATCTATAACAAATCCAAAAACTTCTGACAAAAACCTGCAGTGAGCTTCAAATTGGCAAAGCTTCCAAATGAAGCCGAATCCGAGGATACGCGCGAAGAGATTGATATAGTTTTCGCAGATCCTGATAAGGACTTGAAATGATCCAGGCTCTTCAAGCCTTGTAGGCCCATTAGCTTGTTCATTTTCAAATCACAAAGGAGAAAACACTCGAAATTCGTACTTGGAGCTCTAGGTATCAATATAACTTCGAATCTCACAGTTTTTAGTGAATCAGTTGAAATGTAAAGGTGTAAACACTAGAAATCAGATTTTCGAAGCTCTCAACATCAGAAAAATCTTCCAAATTCAATGTTCAAGGTGATCAATTTTGATTTCCAATCTCTCACCAATCATGCCTTCGACTCTTCAAGATTGGGAATTCTCAGTTAAAATTCAACGAATAAATCCCTAGAAATTGGTTTTCGAGGATCTAGACTCCAAGAGATCCGAAGCTTTTAGGATTTGGAACTGAGAAATCTAAGAGATTTGACAGAAAACCCTAGAAATGAGTTGCTGTAGCGTTCTCTCTCAGGAGGTCTCTAAAAGTCGAGAGAACGGAGTGTTCAAACGACTTTAGGCGCCAAGTAATGCAATATTTATAGCCGTCTTCATTTGAGGCGGTTGAACAGTTGGGAAGGCTCAGATCACCTGCTCCACCTGTAGACGGCACAGATGAAGAGGCACACGTGGATGTCTAGTAGGGG